GTAAATTTAACGTAATTGTTTATCATAAATTAATAATATAATCAATTATTTTTGTCAATTTAACATAATATATATGACATGTGAAGTTTTAATTTAATGAAGTTATGATTTAGTAATATATATAGTTATAAAATAAATAAATAAATAAATAATATTTTAAAATAAATATATTGTTAAAAATCGAAAGAATGAATAAAATAATAAATCACTGTTCATTTGGTGTAAATTTTGGTGAAATGGTTGGAGAAGAATTTTGGTTTGGTGCAAGATTTAGTGCAAAATTTGGTGCAAAATTTGGTGCTGGGTTGGAGATGACCTTAGCATACATACACAACATCCTACCTTCGGCAGACAGCAGCTTAAATGAGGGCAAATATGACATTTGCACATATTGCTTTGCATTTAAGGACAAAATAATTTCACGTGGGCCAGACTAAAATGACAGGAAAATTGATTTTCGGATTCTGGTTTTCCAAAGATCATCAAGCGATCAATTCAAAATACCACCTGACGAAACTATCTGGAAAGGCTTTTATGCTATTACCAGGCACTGCACAGTTGACCACAGTAGAGAAAAGAAAAGCGTGAGCCCCTGCAACAATCACAGAATCTTATACAGACACACCACACCGTAAGAATGAGAAGCGTTGATTTGAAGCTAATTCTGGAGAAAAATGGTGAACTACATGTTGATGATCGCCGCAGAACTCGAGACTCTCACTGACCTCAGCCTCAAGGCGGTTGCGATGACCCTAACTTCACCTATTACTTCAAGGTATATATATATTTTTTCATCTTTATGCGCGTATTTTAGCTTTTTCACGTAATAAAGTGGATTTTATATTTGAGTTAGCTTCGATAGTATTTTTGTTGATATTTCTCAGAATATGTGGAGTTAATGGTTTGATTTTCCTTATATTTCTAGTTTTTGACTTTTTTGTTAGCATATATTTAAATATATGATTTTGTTTTGGTGCTATGACAAATATGAGTGGAATCTGATCTTACTGATTGAAATTTTTAGTGATTTTGTAAATTGTACTTACCGCTTTGGTTACTACTGTTGGTGTATTAATAGTTACAGTTGTTATTTATCCAGCATTTCTACATATGCGTAATTGATTTGTAATTTCACATCACTTGTGGTGTATCTTTATATGCATGTAGTATAATTTGTTAAAAGCAAGTTCGCTAGAATTTTCCTTTTAAACTGCCTTGTGATGAGGGGAAGGAGTCCAAATGCTTACGATTGATTATGTCAGATCATCACAATCCAGACTTCTTTTTCATATGGTAGCAGCCTCCAGGTTGCTCCATTTCAACATTCCCATAAAGATGGTCGCATGAATACCAGTTTACAAGCAAATTGAGTAGAACTCATCTTTATAATGGATATGTAAAGGGAGGGTGCTCAAGTGCCTACATGTCTGCAAGACAAAGTTTAGCTTAGTGATATGGGGCTCAATTAAGACAGTGATTTTTTGAAAAAAGTTCTGACACGATGTGTAGTCGACATGTTGATTAAAATATTATTTTTTTAATTTAATAGTTTTAAGTAATATATATATATATATATATATATATATATATATTTATAGATCTTTCTATCACAATTAACCAGGCTAAGAAATTTGCTGAGACACCTAAAGACTCCCCCGATTTTATGCTCTTGGATCTTCCCCTTTTCTTTTTTTTTTTTTTTCTTTTCTTTTTTTTTTTTTTTTGCAATTTTCGTGTATTACCATTACAAGAAACGGGATTGAGGATTTGACGTCCTTGTAAGTTTTACTTTTTATTGGGGTAAAATGGTAAAAAAATAAATGTTTGGTTTGTTGAGGGTAAAACTAAAAAGAAAACCTGTCAAATAGTTATTTAAAAGGAGAAAATTCATAAGAGTCTAACTATCACATGTTTCAAAATCAAGAAAACAAGTTTTAAATTTCAAAAATAATATTTTTATTAAAATTTATTTATGATTTAACTAATTAGTTATTTTATTAATTACATATATTTAGGTCACAGATCTATATAATTTGGCCACAAATTAATGATTTTATCAGTCATTTATTAGTTTTTGAACACAAATTAGAAATTTTATGTTACAAATTATTTTACGGTTATAATTCAAAAATTTTATATATCACAGTTCGTTCATCGATCACAAATAAAAAATTTATAAATCACGGTTTATTTATTGGTCATAAATCACAAATATTATAAGTCACAACTTATCACACAGTCACAAATTATTAAATTATCAATCACAGATTAACAATTTTTTAGGTCACACATTATTTCTTGATCATAATTTATATTTTGTATTGATCACATATTGTTTATTGGTCACAAAATAACCAATTTAATGGTCACGGTCAACCAAATAATTTATGACCATCACCAGCACTTGTGACATCCACCTCACCACTATCATCAGCCGCAACGCCAACAAAATTGTTACGCACCAGAACAACCACCACCACTACCACACCCACAACATCACAGTAGCACCATCACCACCGCCACACCCAAAGCATCACAGATTCACCATAGCTACACGTACAACATCATAGAACCACCATCGCCACACCCACTGCATCACAGAACTCATTGCACTACTGCACAAGCGACATCCCTAACAGCCCCCATCTCCACCATACCACAAACACAACCCTCACTAAAAAAGTCTCCAAATCCACCGTCGGCACTATCAACAATAACCTACCTCAACCCTCACCAATAAAAGTCCTAAATCCATCGCCTGCAATATCAATAGTCACCTACCCGCACAACAAATCAACACAAGAAAATAAATGAAATAGAGAAAATGTCGAGCAGAGGAAGTGGCGGTGGTTCTGTTTGCAGGAAGAGAGAGACAACAGTGGTGAAGAGAGAGACAGGAGATGGGGCGGCAAAGAGAGAGATCGGAGATAGCGGTGGTGCGCGAAGAAAGAGACAAGAAATCCACCGTCGGCACTATCAACAATGAGTAATGGTTCGGCAAAGAGAGGGATAAGGAGAGGCGGTGGAGGTGAGATATAGAGAGAGAAAATGAAAGGGAGGAATGAAGATAAATTTAGGGTTTGGTAGGATAATATGTATATTTAATATTGTAATATAATTATTAATATTTAAAATATATTAATTAGTTAATAAAATATCTGATTTTTGAAATAATAAACTTAACCTATGATTTATGAAATGAGATCTCTAAATGCCCAACACATTTGACTTGAATAGTGGATTTCAATAATACGGTGTACCACCCAAAGTCCAAACACCTACAATGCCTCTTCATTTTCTCTTCTACATTTCTTCTTCTTCCTCAACGTCTTTGCATTTATTCTTCATGAGCGTGGCAGCCTCCGATTTTGCTTACTGTTTTCAACCGTCGAGTTAATTTCTTCTTCATCTCCGATACGCTGCAAGGGACTTCCGACACTTGTCGACGACGTGTCGGAGATTTACCGGTGTTCGACATGTATCAGACATCGATACGCTAACGATGGCAGCGTGTCGGTGCTTCTCAGAGTTGGGCTGTTTGTATATTCGGACATAAAAAAAGTACCAGAGGAAGAGAAGAAGATGATGAAAATAATGATGGTGGCATTGCTCCGAAACTTGACCTTGTCAATTTAACTTTATAGACTCAACCATATTTGTTCAAGTTAACTTGACAGGTTAGAGTTAGTCTCCAACAACAAAAAGTATCTATAATTTGATGGCCTATTAGAAGCACAGTGTGTTTTTAGACCATTCAATAGCTTATTTTGGAAGCATTCATCTCGTATTAATTGAAGATAACATGCTATTCACTCTTTGTTGTGACTGACAAAAAAAAAATAATAATAATAATTATGCCCCATTTTGATTCTCATTCCTTGGCCACAAAAATGAAAAATATGGCCGTTATTCATCACATCAAGTCACCATATTTGACTTTCTATCTCTTGTGTAGGTTCATAACGACTATATTTTTCATTCTCATTCTTACAAAAATAGGTACCAAACAGGGCCTATATGTTGTAGTTGTCTTCTCTACCATTATTTTTTCCTCTTGAATGTCATACTTCATTTAGTTTATGCACTGCTATTCTTCTCTCTTTTTTATGTCCTTATTAGAGTTGAAGACAGCCTGATTTTCATTCTTATATAGGAGTAATCTGAAGCAATTTACGAATCAAGTCTCATTCGTAGCCTATGTTTGGCTCATGTTTGTAAACTGCTTATAAACGCTCAAGCAACTTTTTATCTACATATTTCGAGGGATTCACATGTACTAATCACTTATCCATCACTTATTTCTATCTATTTATGATTTAAACCGTTTAACACTTCCCAAACATGCTCTTAATCTACTTAAAGCTGGTTTGACCATCATTGTTTAAAGAAAAATTATGTGCATGTTGAGCTTTAAGTATTTTCATTTTATTCAATTTGTGCAGCTGAAATGTGGAAATTGTGGAGAGGTAACCCAGAAAGAGACTTGTGTGAGCTTGAACGAAACTATTCCTTCTGCAAAAGGGAAAAGTGATGTCCATCTTGTGCAGAAGGTATAATTTCACACCTCCGCTCTTGCTCTTGTATAACCTTCTATTCGTCATTAAAATTACTTTTATACTTGGGTGTTTGTGACACGACCCGTCCCGAATCATCCTAATAGACCCGACACGTGTCGTGCGTCGATGGTAGATACCAGTTAAGTACCGGACCCACCATCAAGGCAACATTGACTTGTATTGACTATGATATGCTTTGTAAAAATTTTGGCAGAGTTCCCCCTGAATTATAGACTAAAATCACCTGAAATATATAATCCAATATCCCAAACAGATATATATAGTTTAAAATAGGGTACACTGGCTCACAGAAAATCAACTATTCAAATACAACACTGGCAATTTGACCTTTGCAACAATTTATAAACCACAGTACCCAAAATGCATAATAAATACAAAACATAACAGGCCCAAAACATGGAACTAACTTCTGACCAAAAAAGGTGTCTATTTCAAAATATGAACTATTAAAGTGATAAGATGAGTCATACAATACTTGACAATTTATAGTTCAACTCGATAGATCAACTGGCCTAGTAGTGCTCAACTCAGCTACTATCTGATAAGAGAAATTGTAAAAAAAATGTGAGCCTATAATTCAGTGAGTGGATAATTTGTGAATAAATATACTTTTTCCATTTCTACATATTTTCTGAAAATTCTAGCTTTATTAAATCTTTGAAAAAATTCTGAAATCTGGTAACACTGTTAAAACCAAAACATGATTGCATCATACAATTCTTTGCTCTTAATTCTAGATAAGTAGATGTAAAGTTAACAAATAATCTGATATTCATGAAAATCTTTGAAATATTGCTATTGGTCAATACTATAAGCTGAAAGCTTTATTCTGAAAGCCGTATTAACTGAATTCCATAATCTAAAATCTGAGAACTGAATAAATACTGAAAAATCACACCAAAAAGAGTACCCAATGAATAGCCTTACTCATGTACAGAGTAATCTCGATGTACAAGGCAAAGTCATTCAAATCTGATAATTTGATAGCTGATAATCTGGTCATACGTACGTAGAGCTGCCCCAAAGGCTAATCACCCTAGTACACGGCCAAAAGCCTATGTGTGTATGAGAGTGGGTCCCAAAGACCTCTAATAATCTGGTCATACACTATGGAAACACATTCACGATAGTGCAGAGCGGGTAAAATCACTATACTGATCATACGCTGTGAAAACACATTCACACCAGCGCGGAGTGGGTAAAATAACCATATGAAATCATACACTATGGAAACATATTCACACCAGTGCAAACGAGAGTAAAATCACCTGGGTACTTTCTGGTGGTTTTTAGAAAATAACTTTAAATATGCTGAAACATGTAATAAGAATATAACATGCTACTAAAATAATTTAACTGAACTAAATTTAACTTTAAAAGCAATTGATAATAAAATCCATTTTATTTTGAAAATCATGCTATGAAGTCAATTTTATAAAATAAATAACTTTAAAATTTAAAGAAGACTTATTTCTGAAAAATAAGTTTTATCCACTCATTCAATACGAGCTACAGACTAGACCGGTCGGTAAGTTTTTCCAATTCTTCGTCACCACCTGTAATACGTTACAAATAACTAATTTAATCACTATTAAAATAAAGAAACATTTAATCTCTAATGATATAATAATTAAACTAAATTCCCCGAGACTTGCGAAATTTTCCTAAATTTTCTTTAATCAATCGAAGCTAATTTCCACTTTCTAATACCTTCACAATCATATACCACATCCAAATTTAACTTTATTACAATCATAACAATATTTGTCCCTTTCATTTTAGTGAAAAACGAGAAATCATAATACAACCAAATTAATATATCTATCATTCCCCAAAATCATTCTTCTAAGTGAATAATTCCATTAATGTAATCATTTTCACAAATAATCCATGCTCAATCATCAAATTTAAAAACTAGGGTTTGCCCAAAAAAAATTAATATCTCCTTATCTTAGTGTAGATAGAAATTCAAGAATCAATAACTTGAGCTCCAAGTAGTATTCCTCTCAAACATCTGAAAATTTTCGAGCCAAAATAAAACCTTAGAATTTAACATAAAATATATCTACCTCTTGAAGAAAATAAAAAGAGAGGAAAAATGGAAATGAACCTTGAACTACCTCTTTCCTTTCTTTCTCTTCTTCCTTTTTTCCTTTTTCTTTTTCTTCCCTCTTTTCTTTCCCTTTTTTTCTTCTCTGCCGGTTCTTTCTTTCTTCTAGTGTGTGTGTGTGTGTGTGATTTATGAGAGAAAAAGTGATGGTTAAAGGCATTAAAAACCCACTAACTCCAATTTGCAAGAAAAGTCCCTCTTCTCTAATATGAGCTAACATTTAAATTCTAAACTTCCCAAAAATGTATAAGTAAATTTTCAACTTCCAATTGTATCCAATATAACCCTCATATATTGTCAATTGCAAAATAAATCCCAATAAAATATTTTAGTCAATTCAAGTCCCAATAAAGTCATTTATTTCATTTAAGTCCCTATGTGACTTTGACTTTGAAAATTCAACTCTTGACTTTTGACTAAATAATGTGGGTTGTAACAGTTTGTGATTATCTGTGCATGCTAAATATATGAGCACATGTGACACGTTCTAGGATACAGACTCTGTGATCAAATTAGAGATCAAATTGTTTTCTCTGAGGAATGTTGTGCGGAGAGAAAAGGTCTTGTAAGTATTCACGAGAATTGAAGTGTGAAAAGCTTGAATTGTTTAATAAATATTAACTTGATCTATCTTCTCATTTTTAATCTGTTGTCATGTTTAGTCAGTTTTGGGTCCTCATTTATGTTTATTTATTTACTTTTTTGGTATGAATTATTTGTAGTACTAATCATTCTATTTCATTTCTTTCCAACCCAGTGTAAATTTTGTTCTAGGGAAGGAATTGTTACTATGGTCACTGGCCGAGGCTCTCCTCTTACTCAGGACCATGCTGAAGCTGGAAAGTATGCACCTCAGATGTTGTTCGACTTCAGAGGTTTTGAGCCTGTAGATTTTGTATTTGGCAGTGGGTGGAAAGCTGAATCTGTAAGATATTGCTCGAGTAAATGATGCAGTCGATGATACTTTTTGCTTTTCTAAATGATCTTATTTTAATTTGCGATCTTAGTGAGTTTTGAGCCTACTTTATATGAATCCTGATGTTTTGCCTGTTGGATTCTTTTGACTTCTGCTATTTGATTATTCTTTCCCTTCCTCCATGTGCATACTTTTAGTTAGTGTGTTTGGAGAAGAAGTGCTCACCATGCTTAAACTTTGGCTCCAATGGTGTGCAATTTAGAATGTTACATCTTTTTGGAGTAGCAGCACAACCATACTAGAGCGATAAATGGATTTTTGTAGCTGCAATATGCAATTATAGTCTCAGCTTAATAAATTTATCAATTGCAAATGCTCCTCAGATATGTTTCCCTTTTACTCTTTCGATTTCTGGGGTGTAAAATAATCCTTTCTCTGGAGGGAGGAGGTGGTATAAAAATTTGCTGACGTCTTCGGACATTTAGAATGGTGCAATAATCACTAAAACCGTTGTGCTTTTAGTTATTGTAAGATCGTCTGTTGGAACCTGTAAGTTTCTGACCAATTGATTCTCTTCCACTTTTTCAGGATTTTTTGGGTAGTAACTCCTAATTTTTTTTTGTAACTGAGCTGTAACTTTGATAAATGCTCTAAACTATGTGACAAGGAGTTCCCAAAATTAAGTTGCATTTGAATCTTTTTTTTGTTCTGCTTTTCATGCCGACCTTTCAATTTCCGAGATTTGTTATCCCAATTTAAATTAAAACAACTGCAATGATCAGACTGCAATACATGGAGGGAAAAGGGAGTTATTGCACATGAGCACTTTTACACTCAAATTGTGTTATTATTTCTTTTTCCTGGCTTTGGGCTGAATAGCTTTATCTGATTGCAGTTCCTTCCTTTTTATTTTTATTTTTATTATTTTTAAAATTTCATTTTTGGCTAGAAACTGCATCTTACTAATGTTATGAGTACTGTTGCATTTCTTGTATTAATGAACATTACAAAATGTGTTCTCAAAGCTGTGGATCTCTTCTATTATCTGAAATCTCGTTTCACTTGCATGTTACTGCAACTATTAATTTTGTGAAGGTAGCCAAATTGAATGCTATTTTTTTCCAGGGTGTCTTTCTTCCTAATTACGTTTGGTTAACTTGCCATGATGCACATTCCTGCTGCACTTTGTTTTTGAAATGGGTTGATGTGATTTGTAGACACTGTTAGCTTTCAATTTAATATGTATTTTACCTTACAATCTGTTTTTATGCTAGTAAAAATTGTTAATCAGCATAAATGTGATAATGTAATAGTTTTATGTCCATTTATGTGCTATATTTATAACCCATTTGAATGCTACGAATGCAAATCATACACGGGCAGATAAATAAACACTTAAAAAGTTTCAAGATAGCAATATTTCCTCTAAATTGCCTTTACTTTATTCCCAAATGATGTTTTGTCAATTCATAATCGGCTAAAATGTGGCATATCTCACTGTAAGCGTTCTTATGGAATTTTGAGCAGTGCTACCCTTACAGAACTAGCAGAATCAGGGTGCTGTCAGGCAACACACAAACATGGGGCCTGCATACTTTTTTTTTTTTTTTTTAAATACAGGTGGAGCCCCTGCACTGTGAGGGGCCCTGTAAGTGATCTGTGAGAAAAGCCCTGTACATTGGGCATTTCCCATGGAATTTCTTCCCTTCAACATTCAGTCAAAATCCATAAATGTGTGTGGTGTACAGTATCATTATCTTACATCTTTCATTTGCTGACTTAAGATTCTGGTCTCGTTTATTTTGTTTTATTCATACATTTTATCTTTTGTGTAGATTGAAGGAACAAAATTCGACGACATTGACTTGATGGAAGGAGAGTTTGCTGAATATGATGAGATGGAGAGTGTCCAGTCATGATTTCCCAACCTTTGTGCTACGTTCAATGTTGTGAAGTAGGTTGTTCTACCCATGTTTTTTTTTTT